CCAAATTTTTAATGCTTGACTTTGTTTCATGTTGGAATTGTATTGTGGTTTGTTGAAATTGTCCCATGCTTTGTTGCATGGTAACCATGTTTGAAGTCAAAGCTCTTATCATGTCATCAGTTGACATATTAGGTTGAGAATTTGAGCCTTGATTGTTGAAAGGTGGTTGAGAAGATGGGTTGGATTGTTGGGGGTTTCCATACCTCAAGTTTGGATGATCCCTCAGTCCTTGGTTGTAAGAGTTGGAGAATGGGTCGTACCTCCTTTGTTGATGTCCTTGGAAACCCAAGACGTTGACTTGTTCTAGATTGTCTTCTTGAAGAGTTGGGCATGAGTCCGTGGGGTGCCCCTGTTGTGTACAAATGCCGCAGACCTTGACTTCTTGGGTCTTGGATTTTAAGAGGAAATCCTTAACCAAAGAAGTCAAGCCGGCAACTTGACTTTCCAATGATGATGTTGATTCCGCAGCGGCAACTCTACGGTTTGAGGATCTGTGACCGAACTGCCGTGAGTTCTCGGCCAATTCCGAGATAAGATTTATAGCTTGTGAAGGAGTTTTATTAACAATGCCGCCTCCACAAGCGGCGTTCACCATTCTTCTATCATCATCAACAAGACCATCATAAAAGTATAAGATGAGGTCTTGTTCTGAGTAGCCATGATAGGGACAGCTAGCACATAGCTTCTTAAATCTTTCCCAAAATTCATATAAGGATTCATCATCCTTTTGCTCGATGTTGCTTATTTGCTTTTTTAGAGAAGATGAGATGGAAGCAGGATAATACCTATCGAGGAAGCACTTCTTCATTTGTGCCCATGTGTTGATGCTTCCCGAAGGAAGATAGAAAAGCCAATCCTTCGCGGTATCTTTCAAGGAGAATGAGAAGGCTCTCAGTTTTATTTGCTCTTCTGTGGCACCGTTTGGGCACATGCTTGTGCAAACGATGTGGAACTCCGAAAGATGTTTATTCGGGTCTTCTCCTCTCATGCCATGGAAAGATGGCAATAAATGTATGAGCCCAGATTTCAACTCAAATGTATTACCTTCATCAAGAGTAGGAAAGGTAATACATAATGGTTGTTGATTCAAGTTTGGAGCTGTGAGCTCCCTCAAAGTCCTTGTCTCGAGAGCCATGTGGAATGACTCTTCGGATTCGCTAGAGCTAGAGCTAGCGTTTGAGGATTCCTCCGAGGGTGTGTGCGGAAACAAATTTCTCAACCTCTCGAAGGCTTGTTCTATTTCGGGGTTTGTTTGGTAAGTAAGCTCGTTTATAGAACGGGTTTTTACCATATACTCATGTAAGCTCAAAAATAGAAAAAGTAAGAATTCTTTATATTTTTATTATTGTTTTTTTTATTTATTTATCTTGAAATAAAATAAAAAAGAAAAATAATTTCCTTTCCCCGGCAACGGCGCCAAATTTGACGTGCACTTTGTCGTGGTGTGCACTCAAAATAAATACAATACGACACTAATACGTAGTATAGTGAAGTAAGGTTCGTATCCACAGGGAAAGGAATACTTCTCTCTTTATAAACTAGTAACAAGGGGGGGTTTTAGATTGAGTAAATGAACTTGAATTATATTTAAACACGAAGATGAACGAGTTATGTGGTTTAATTAATAAGAAGAAGAAGACTTGGCTTTGCTTTTATCCACTTAATGAAATGTTCGTCGATCCCGGTTATATCTTTAACTATCTTCCTCTCGAATACTCAATCGAGGAGTATATCCAGTTCATCGAGGGTAGTTATTAATAACGAGAAGCGTTTATTAATAAAACTTACTATCGAGTCAATATAGAACAAGCGCCGTATATTAACTTGATAGTAGCAATAAACTTAAGATGAAAACGATTGAGATTGATAACCTCAACACAAGCGGTTTATTGGTTTAATCAATATAATTAATTCCCCTTATATTATTAACCATGAGATGCATGCATTAATAATCCAAGTTTACTACCATGAAAGGACCGAATTAATAACAAGCGTATTAATCGACCGATTCTAGTATTAATTAATATATGAAACAAAACTAGTTGATCCTTTAAGTAATGTTCAAAATATTAATATGAAATATGAATAGGAATTAATTAATACTCAAGAAAGAATATTAAAGAAGATGAATCCTACTATAATTAATATCAAGATGTTAACTAATTGTCATCTTAGTAACACTCCCCGATATTAACGTAGAGGAAGAAATAACTATTACTATAACTAATGTCAAGATGTTAACTAATTGTCATCTTAGTAACACTCCTCAACATTGATATAGAAATAGTATTTAAAGGAAGAATTAATATTCAAGGAAGAAGATTAAAGATAATAACTCACAACTTACAAATTCATTAAGCTTCAAAGGAGCAAAACCAAGATGGAAGAGTTTAGCTCCTCATTTGGAGACTAAACATGCTATAAAAATATAAAAGAAATACTATTCTAAACTGAGCTTAAGAGTATGGAAGAAGGGATGATTCTTTGTGAAGGAAAATGAGGCTATTTATAGGTGTTTTTCAACACCTTTGGCCGGGTACCCGACCGGGTAAAGTGTCCACCCGACCGGGTGCATGTCAAAATCAAATATCCTACACGTTCTGGCGATCTTCGGCACGTTCTGGTGTTCCGGGTCAAGTCGGACCCGACCGGGTGAAATACCTCACCCGACCGGGTGATGTAATTTCCTGAGTATCTGCATCTGTTAAATCAGACCCGACCGGGTGAAGTGCCTGACCCGGCCGGGTCTGTGCACCTGGATATTTTTCTTCTTCTTTTCACTTCTTTTCCTTGCCAAAAACTCTACTACTACTTTACAACTTAATAATAATGATTAAAATCAATTACAAACAAATGAAGATGATTGCTTAAAAACTAACTAAAAACGGTAAACAATCCACACAGAATAAATATAAAAACATACATTTATGCACTACAAACTAGTGCATATCACACAACAATCTAGAAAGGCCAGAAAGTCTCAATCAGTACTGTAATTTCATTGACAAAAATGAACAACATTCCATACCTTCAATACTACAACAACTAACCCTTTATGATGCATAAAAAATATAGTACAACAACTAATACAGAATAACAGCTACATATATCAAGTATCAACTAGTCTCTCCAACTATTACATTTTCTTTATCATGATAGAGCAAAGAAAAATATTACAAAGCCATGACACATTGTCTTCCAGTATAGCTTGGCTTTTTCTTCATTCTGCACAACTATTTTAATACTTTCTAAATCACTCTGCAACACCATCACTCACAAACTCCTTGACCAGGTTAACCAGGTCCTTAACAACTCCAGCCACTTTCATTTTGATAGCCATCCTTCTCTCCCTAAGTTATGCCAAGTCCTAAGAAGTTCTATATGGTTATGTTTAAGTAATTTGCAATAAAGATACAAATTGATTAGAATACTGCTAACTTAAATTAATTAGAATTAAACTTTTCAAAGTCATCTTTTGGATCCTACCTTTCATAAGATTTAATCTTTAAGAACAGTTATGTCTATCTTCAAATGTATAGCTATATGCTAATGCCAACAGCCTGCTATAATTGGCTGAACAAGGCTGCATTGCTTGCGAAGTGTTTAATTAGGGCAGTGCAGGTATGATTAATAACGAACATAAGAATGATACTTATTGTATGCTTGTAAGAAAAACAAACCCAACTTTATCTATATACTTGAAGTAATCTATTTATGTTTCCACCACACACATTAACATAAACATCACAGTTCATAACATTCAATTGCAAAAGTTCCAAAGTTAAATTTTAATTTCTCATAAAATCATATAATGTAACTCGTTCTTGCTTGTCAAAAGCCCATTTTCTACTTAAATTTGTTCAAGCGTAAGATCTAAAATCCTAAAATAAGCCTAGATAACAATTTAGGTTAGGAAAACTTAGTAGAGATCAATTGATATCATAAAATGGTACTTTCTTTTCAAGACTAAATGTTGTCCCCAGCCTGAAATAAATTCCCAGGTCCCATTAACTCTAGAACTAAATAAAATGAAATAAAATAGCAAAACCCTAACAATTAAAATCAGTTATGGTGTTACCTGCAAGTCTGCAATGGTTGCAGCTTTGGTGAGTCGCCTAGCTATTGACTAGAAAGGTAATTAAGACGGAACTTTCTTCAACACCGTTGTTCTCAAGGTCGCCAATTGTTGAAGGAAGATCAAGATGTTTTAGAAAAATGGAGCAGTAGAAAAAGCAGGGAAACCCGGCTCTGCAAACGTGTTGAGACCGTAGAACATGGTGTCTTCTTCATTAACCTCAAAAATTGGACTTGGTGAGAGTTGGGATGAAATTGGCGGTGAAATAGAGAAAAGGAAAAGGAATGTGCGACACAGCAGATTTCCAAAATGATCAAAATACTTATACCGCCACACGTAGGATGCACCAAAACATTCAGTAATATGAAGGCACCGAAGAGGCACCCTAAAACTTATACTTCCACCTCAAAGTTAAACTAGATAAGAATTCTTATTTAACTACATTTAGACCTTATATGTTAATGTTATGCATTTTCATTTTGTTACAAAGTAATGATGAACTACCAACTATGCAGCTGGCTAATCTATGCAATCAGAAGAGGTCTTCAAAATAACTCCCAAAAGAAAAAAGCACACAAAAAAGATTAATGATTAAATACCATTTCAAGAACCAAGTTCCACAATTAAGCTAATGTAGGAGAGGAGTAGGTGCATGTATGACTGCATCAGAATAAACTATATAAAACACTCAATTAATAATGTGTTAGTAAAAATCGACAGAGACTAATTAGAGACTTTATTTATGAAAAGGTATAGAAAGTTAGCTAATTAGAGAAGAGAAGAAGTTAGCAAGTTATTGAGCATCACTACTCCATGTAAACCCAATTCTAATTCTTTCTACAATTACTATATCATACATAAATCCCATAGGTTTCCACAAGATTTAGAAGCCTCTGAATGTTCAATGCACCGTTCTTCCACATCCATTTCAGGCAATTCATTTTCTGAGTTCAATCTTGAATTTTTACTCCCCAAGAGAACAAAAAAATTCCAGTCTTTTAGTCTTTACTGCTTGAACTCCCAAACTTTTCATTTTTTTTTGCAATTAAAATACCCGCTTTTATTACTGAATCAAGGTATCATTCGCTACATGACTGCAGATACAATTCGGAATAGAATTAAATAATAATTTACCACCCGCACTGGAAACGGTTGCTCATGCAAGTACATGGGTTGCTTGGTTCGAGGATCGTCTGCAAAACCTGACTGAAAAACTAGCTTCAGATTGAAGTATGTGTCTAATGTCATCAATAATAAGGTCAAAATAAGAATCCCTGTTATCTTCTGACACTCGTGAGAACACTTGTAGAGCGTCTGTCTGGACTTCTACTTTAGACCATCCTTGTTCTTTAGCCCAAGTGCACACCTTTCTTACTTCGACCGCTTCTGTCGCCGCTGCAGACCAATATGCCCGAAAGACCTCCCAACCTCCTCGAATAAATCTGCCTTCTTCATCACGTGCTAACCAGCCCCAAACTCTCATTCCCCTATTATTAGCATCTACCGCCCCATCCACGTTTATTTTTATCACCCCTGCAGTTGGCCGTTCCCATATCTTTCATCCACTTTTTACCTTATTGAATCATGTGTAGCATATTGTTGTGCCGCCCTCCATCCGTTTAGCACTGCTGCACCTGCGTTAATTATTTGTTCAACGTTGAACTGCTTTTCATTCCAAACCACTTCATTACGCAATTTCCAAATACTCCACATCATTGTGATTAGCAAGCAAAGCTCCTCCTCATTTTTACTTTCAAAACCTGCTTGCATCCACTCCAGTAAGTTTTCAGCTTGGCCCTGCACCATTAATTTCAATTTTCTCCATACGTCTATTGCCAGAGGACAATCCCTAAACAAATGTAGGGAAGTTTCTTCCTCAATATTGCACCTCATTCACAAGTTGCCAAAATTAGTGTTTTATTTTAGGTGGTATATAAAATCTCCACATACTAGTCCACCCAATCCAGTTATTTACTGAGATTACCCCCCATCAAATTTCTGTAACCACTCTTTACTGTATATTTCCCCCAAGTATCGTTGATCCACCAATACCCATCCCTTACCTCCCTACGACTAAGGGGAATACTTAAAATATCAGTTCTCTCATCTTCTGAAAAAAGAGTTTGCAAGCGCTCTATATTCCAGCCCGATCTATCCTTCTTAATAAGACATGCTACGTTCATATCAAATACACCTTTCGGTTTCGGAGATGAAACCATACCTCCCTCCTTAACTGGAAGCCAACTATCGTGCCAGACAGAAATATCTCTCCCACTTCCGACCCTTCGTCGAGTTCCTTCGCTTATAACTCCCTGTGCCTCCAAGATACTACGCCAAATATAGGAATGATTACTCCCTAATTTTGCACATAGAAAAGAAGTTTTTGGATTATACCTTGCCTTGTATATTCTGCTCACTAATGAATTTGGGTCGGTCGTTAAATGCCGTGCTTGTTTTCCTAGCGTTGCAATATTAAATTCCTTAAGAGACCGGTAACCCAAACCACCTTTATATTTAGGCACACAATAAGCTTTCCAAGCCTTCCATCTAATTCCACTCCCTGCCAAATCTCTCCCTCTCCACCAATATCCATTTTTATTTTCTCATTTCTGAACATAAATCTTGAGGTGCTAGAAAAACATTCATAGTGTATGATGACATTGCTTGAATTACCGTTTTAAATAGAACCTCTCTTCCCGCCTTGGAGAGGAACCTATTATTCCACCCCTAGATTCATATCAGTATTCTCTCTCGTAAGTAGCCAAGAATTTATGTTTTTTCCTCCCGATCAATGCTGGAAGCCCAAAGATACCGGGAATGAGCATCATTCACTAATACCCCCAATAGTCCAGTAATGTCCACTCGCTTTGCTTCGCTAACATTCGGGCAGAACGAGATGGAAGATTTGATAAAATTAATTTGTTTCCCTGAACTGGATTCATAGAATTGTAGAATTCTTTTAATGGCATCACAATCCTCCTTCTAATCCCTGAAAAAAAGGAAACTATCGTCAGCAAAACAAGTGGGACACTTTCGGTGCCCCTCTTGCTATAGAAATTCCATGGATCTTGCCCTCACTTTTTTGCTGCTTAATCAACAAACTGAGGCCTTCTGCAACTAGGATGAACATATAAGGAGATAGGGGATCTCATTGGCGTAATCCACGTTGTGGAACTATAGGTCCCAAAGTATCATCATCAAATGGTATCAAGTATTCAACAGATTCCACACACTCTCTGATCAACTGTATCCATTTAGGAGTAAACTTTTTCACTTCCATAATAGTGACTAAAATCTTCCACTCAACCCTGTCATAGGCTTTGCTCATATCAAGTTTAACGGCTACAAATCCCTCTTTACCTCGAGACTTACACTTCAAATAGTGATGTGTTTCAAAGGCTATCATAATATTATCAATTATGGATCATCCCGGGATAAAAGCACTTTGATTACAAGACACCAACGTATTTGAACACCCTTTCAAGCGATTAGGCAAAACTTTTGAAAAGATTTTGTATATAACGGTGCATAAAGCTATAGGATGCCAATCACCAATATTCTCGGGTTTATCTTTTTTTTTTGGTATAAGAACAAGGTTTGTAATATTTACCTCCCTGTGTAATTGTTCCTCCATGAAAATTGTTCGACAATATTTGAAAACATAGCTCCCTACAATCTCCCAATAATGTTGGAAAAAGCCTGGATTTAATCCATCAGGGCCTAATGCTTTATCCGGGTGCATGCCAAACACTGCCTTCTTAACCTCCATCTCCGTAATTGGATGCAACAAATTAGCATTCCCTGATCCAGTCATCGCTGCCAACCCCTTAACTTGCCTTTCAACTCCTCAGGATTCAAATTAGCAGTAGCAGATTGAAATAGAGTTTGAAAGTAATTTTCTACCATGCTGATGTTGGAACTTTTGGTATATTTCAAATGATACATTTAAGTATTTTTAATTGATTATGTAAATGAATTTAATTATTAATCATGTTTTACATCGCAACACTTAAAGTACACCTTGAAACCGTTGCTCACCATCGTTTAACAACCTTCATTCATTCATTAATTACTACCGTTTATTTACATAGTAATATCAAACATTGCTCGTAACATTCATTTCATTTCATTTAGATGGTACGTTGAAATGAAATACCCAATTTTTGAAAGAAATAATACATGACCATGGTGCTAAAACAACATTTTATATAAAGTTTGGGGCATTTAAACTACATATGCAAGTTTGGGGTGCTTACCTCACACCCCTTCAAAGTTTGGGGTATTTTATTTATATTTCCCTATATGAAAACATACATGTATATGGAGATGAAGTTTGGGAGTTTTGATTTTGAATGATAAAGTGTCTATTTGTGCTACAACTCCTTTCTCATATATCATTACTGGGTTCATATATTATTCTCTTCTCGTTAGTTCTGGTACCGGTTTTACAACCGAAGGGCTCGTTATATCTTGGGGGAAATTTCTGTACGCCGGAAATAATTCGTTAGGACAGCGTCTGACGCGTCTCGAGCTTCTAATATATTTTTTAGTTTCTTTTTAGTGTTTATTCTGCAGGTCAGTTCCCGGAGCTACATAGTCAATGAGGTCAACCTGAGAGCAACACGGTCAACACGTTGATTTTGGAGGGATAGAGCCAACAACTGCCTGCTTGCCTCCTCTCTGTTACCCAAACTCCATCCTCAGATTTTAGTCCAATCATTTTGTTCCTGCGATGTCTCTGTTTCACGGAATTATGGAAAAATTTGGTGTTGACATCCTTGTCCTTTAACCAAAATTCTTTTGCCCTTTGACGCCAAAAAACATTTTGTTGGTGAAGCAAGTTCATTAAGACTGCCTTGACCCTCTGAAACTCCTCGTTGTTACGCTAACTTCCTACATTACGAAGATAATTTGATCTTCTTATACAAATCTCTATTCTTGCCTCGAAACCTACGTTCCTTTGTTTACTCCACCTCACTAAATCTTGCCCACACCCCTATATTTTTTTTCAAATAGTGCTAGACAAATGCCTCGTCCAGCTACGCCTCACCACCTCCCGACACTCGCCGCCATGTGTCCATATATTCTCAAATTTAAAAGCTCCTTTTTTTATGGATTTGTCCACAGTTATACCTGAAGCGAATTAATAACATGAGGTGATCGGTTGCGATGCCTTCCATAGAATAAGCGGAAACTTCCTTGAACAAGTCGAGCCAGTCCTCATTATCCACTATCCGATCCAATTTTTCTTAAATCCACCATGACGTCCCTCTCCCTCTCTCCCATGGTCCATTGGAAACCTTCGAACGGAATATTCTGAAGGCCACTACCCAAGACTGCATCTCTAAAGTCTTTCAACAACCACCTCGATTGAAGTAATCTGCCTCGACGTTTGTTGTCGAACATGATATCGTTAAAGTCCCCCATTACAAACCAAGGTTTATCAGACAAGCGGGATAGATTTCGTAATAGGTTCCATGACTCTCTTCTTCTACTTCGTTCTAGATGGCCATAAAAACAAGTAATCTCCACACTGGTTCTCCTTCTTCAAGCTGTATCAAACAATCAATAAAATCTGATGATGATGAAACCATTTCAATTCTGATTCCTTCACGCCATAAAAGGCATAAGCCTCCACTTTGCCCGATGCTATCTACGGCAAAGATATTCTGAAAGCCAAGCATACTTGTCACTGAATCACACTGATTCCATTGCGCCTTAATCTCCAGCAAGAAATAATTCCAGGTTTCTTCTCACGCACCTTGTCGGACAACACTTGGACTGTTGCCAAATTACCCAAGCCACGACAATTCCAGCTAACGATACTCAAAAAAATAATAAACCGTTCACACTCGGGAAAAGCCCCCCCCCTCAATTATCGCCGACGAAATCCTCCGCCGCGATCCAAAACTCACCCTAGACAAGCTAGGCACCGGCCTCCGTTTCTACAGTAGCGAGATTCCCCATGCCCCTGCAGTTCTAACTTATGATACTCATGACTCGTGTCCAACAAAAGACACACCAAACCGACGAACAAGATGATCAGATCACCACCGGAAAACAACACTAGGAGAACCCTAGAGGCCTAGACCAGACCACCGTTCAAATTTCTATAAATGCACTTTCTATCATACACTTCTCAAATATTTCTAAACCAAAATTAATCACTACTTAAAAATATTACCCATATATGATTTTTTAGTTGTTAATTAACTTGTTATTATCATGATTGATTAGATGCATACATGGTAAAATATTTTAAATCTGAAACACTACTCTGCATAACTTAAGTCTTAACTCCACTAGGATGGTCTTCGTCAAACTATTCTAAACATTGAATGAATCAATGAAGTTAAATTCAAACTTCCGGGAATATGGAGGTATATATAACAACATACCTGTGCATACAAACCTATGAAACATACATGTGTTTTGGCTATTTAATAGGTAGAACTTGTAGAATCGAGAAACTAAAACTAGCGTATGCATGTAAAATCAAGAATATATGAGAAGAAACGCCTCAAGGTTTTCATTGACCTCAAAAAACTAATTGAAAAACTACTAATTTTACTAATAATAAATAGAATATGCCCATCAATGTTACTAAAGTAATATGAGTATAGAACAATTGATAGCAGCATGCCATCATTTATACCCAATGATGTAAAACACATTTCAGAAAACTAAGTTACAAACAGCCAAGTTAGCCATGGTTCTGAGTTAGGGACTGCAATATTGCGGTGCCAAGCCGCAACAATAATTATTTTATTTTATTTCTGTAGGGTGAATTGGTGTGTTTAATCAGAAAATAAAGAAATCAATTAAATAAAATAGCGAAGAAAAACATAAACAAGAAGGAACATAAAGTTAAAGCTTATGCAACACACAATTTCCTTAAAACGTATTCACAGCCTCCCACAGTGCTAGAAGCGTTGCAACGATAGTTTCCCAAGATACGTTGAGCATTAATATGTCGAAAAACTGTCCATTTAAAAGACGCATTAAAGGAGAAAATCGTATCTTTGTAAGATAGATTTTTGGACGACATTTGTGTCTGCAGGTCGCCCGCGCACGCAAGTCACGATTATTCTTCTCCGTTTTCGGGACTTGATCGGCACCCCTGCACGTGAAGAGAGCATTTCCACCAAGAAATCTTATCTCCTTAAGGAGGGTAACCTTTATAAGGGGTCAAAATCCATTGAGTTTTCCAGTGTGGGATAAATCACTAGAAACCCATCATTTTCCTAGTTTTCTCCATTTTAACGAGTGAATTTCGAGAATCAATTTCTTATTCACCTGTTATCCATTTTGAGTACACCATATATCGAATCGAAGTCCTTAACAAGGAGAATCTGAAACCATTTTGGCCCGACCCAAATCAGAAGTGGGACGCA